GTGAAATAATGTCATCTACTCTTCCGCCCGCCTTCCTTGTCCCGAGCACCTGCTAAATACGCCGAAATTGATTTTTTAATATCATTGTCGGTAGGATTTTGAAACCGCTTTCGGACAGCTTCTAAAAATGCAGAAAAAAATTGTCATTATCTTCGGAAACAGCAATAATAATTATTGTAAGTACCTACACATATTACATTACGAGCTATCTAAAATATACCTACCTACAACCAAGCCTACAATTTAATGATACCTATAGCTTAATATTTATTCTAAGATCACATAAAATAAAAAAAAAAATAAAAAATGACGAAAATATAAACTGCGATGACGCCACGGCGGAGCTATACAATCAAACATCGGCAAAACATATTTAACCAATTATGTCCATTACGATTAGGTGTTTCTAAAATCACATTAATTTTAGAAATATCAATTTAAATGCACTGACCATAAGATTAGATAAGATCTGTACAGACGACTCTGTACGTTACACGTCCATTTAAGATTCGATGTAACTACAACTTAAATACTATCTTTAATACACAAACAGGCCTCCTGAAGGGTGAGAAGTAGAGCAGGCTGTATCACGCTAGTAACCAGCACAGATATTTTGATCCAAGGGGTATCTGACGGACAATTAAATTCAACAAAATAGACTCCAAAAGTGTCTGAAAAACGTTGTTAATGTGAAGGAAATATTTTTATGAGTTCTAACACAAAACTATACGCATTACAAATACATATATATATACCGAACACTATCTTTTTCCTGACTTGTTATATTATCAAGTTAACATTAATTACTATATGTGAGTATCACACAGTACATAATAATTAATTAAACAACTAAAATATACATTTACTTACCATTTCTTTACTTGCCTTTACATTTATACACTTTATATGCACTAATGGACGATTGCAACAAATACTTCCAAAGGATGAAAAACCCGGTAGCATTTCCGACCGTAACATCATTTCTAGGCGACTTAAATGTTAACGATCGGCCTTCAATGAATTTTGGTACCCATGCACCGGGCCATGTGTCTTTATGGACTTTCAATTTTGCCAAACATGTTTTACCTATGTTGGATCAATATTGGATAAACATTCTATATAAATAAAGGAAAAAGTACATTCCTTATATATATTACCAATATTGGATAAATATTACATATCAATATAAATAAAAGTTATTGCCAAATATCTTTTATTAATATTGGATCAATATCGGATAAAAATTGTATTAAAATTGTATTATAGCCAATATACAATATTGTACCAATATAGAACAAATATTGGGCAAATGTCGTGTGCTACTGGGGAAGAGTAAGAAAAAATTAACGTTACNATATTGGATCAATATCGGATAAAAATTGTATTAAAATTGTATTATAGCCAATATACAATATTGTACCAATATAGAACAAATATTGGGCAAATGTCGTGTGCTACTGGGGAAGAGTAAGAAAAAATTAACGTTACGTAAACGTTAATAGATAAATTAATATCCTCTGAACAGGTAATAATATTGAGCTATTGTTTAGGTCAGTTATTTTTTTATGTTAGATTCGCCAATAGCCCCATCCTTCCATAAGAAACAATTAATTGCAACACCACACATACGTACATATCCTATAAAAATTATTTTTAAGTCGCGCATAAACATCCGGCATTTGGCGTACTGCATTTGCACCGATCATACAGGATCGTGGAAATTATTAACTTTCTGCACTGCCGTTGATACACGCGCTGTTTCATACAACCCGATACAAAGTAAAACGGACATATATCAAGACTATGCTCCGAGCATGGTACAGGACCCGTACAGACGTCAAGTCCAGCGTCTAGGAAAATGTTCGTCTAGAAACTCACGCGTTGATCAATACAATAATACCTACTATTCTGCACTAACCTATGACATTAACACATTGACCTACTTTTAATAACTTCAGTTGTTTTCATACATACATACATATACAATACAAACTTCATCATTATGAGGTCGTCCGTCCTAAGACTGGTTGGGCACGCACCTTCACACCTTCGCATCCTACGCTAATCTTCGCATTTCCCTAAAACTAGAACATCCCACATTTTTAAATATTTGCGAACAGTAATCTAATCTAGATCTATCTCTACTCCTCTTAACTCCTGTTTCTGCCTCTAATATGTCTCTGAGTAGAACTTCTTGCCTGAGAAGGTGTCCTACTAACCTATCTCGCCTATTTTTTATTAACTTCCATAGAGTCCTCCGTTCTCCTATCCTTCCTAATACTTCTTCATTTCTAACCTTCTCGATCCACAGTATCCATATTATTCGCCGGTAACACAACATTTTGAACGCTTATAACCTTTTATTTTCCGCCGCGCACATCGTCCATGTTTCGCACCCGTACAGTGAAGTGCTCCAAACATATATCTTTAATAATATTTTTCGAATTTCTAATATTAAATTGATCGTTCGCGAACATAGAAGCGACTCGACCTGCGCTATCCTCTGCCTTATATTCCTACTGTTCCTTCCGTCCTAACTTCCTAATAGACACTTAAAATCAGCCACTTCTTCTAATCTTTCGTCTCCTATATTCGCTCTTTCCTTACTTTTTCTTCCCTTCCATACCGATATTTTTGTTTTACTTTTATTTATTTTCATACAATACTGTTTTGATACCGCTTCCATTTTATTTAAAATTATCTCTAACTCCTCCTTGCTAGATGCTAATTCTGCTATATCATCTGCAAAACTAAGCATACTGATCTTTTGCCCCTCTGTCTCTACCCCTACAGGTGTACTGTCGTTAATGATATTGATCGCGTCTTCGATGTATAAATTAAAATGTAGCGGTGACAGTGTACTTCCTTGTCTTACTCCCTTCCTAATATTAACTTCTGTACGTTTCCGCTCCAGCTCTATAACTGCCTGCTGCTTTTTATACAAACTAAGTATCACTCTTCTATCTCTGTAACTCATCCCTACATTTTTAAGTATATATTTAAACATTTTGTCCCATTTAACATTGTCAAAAGCTTTTTCTAAATCTACGAATTTTATGTACGCGCTCTTTCCTTTTTCAATTGTTTTCTCCATTGAATTATTTTGTTTGTTTTCTCCATTGTTACCCGTAAAGCTAGAATGGCCTCCCGCGTTCCTCTGTTTCTTCTAAAAACCCAAGTGGATCTTCCCCTAATAGTTTTCCGCCCTTTTTTCCACCCTTCTCTGTACAATTCTAGTTATGATTTGTAAATGTCTCGTACCTATCCGCGCCTCTCTTTTTAGGTATAGTTGCTACCACGTTCCGTTTTCCCCATCTCGTAAGTGTAACTAACTAGCTTAAACAAACGATCTCTAACCTCTTGTCCTGCATGTCAATAACACTTAAACTAACAAATAACAAGCAATACATGAGTATAAATATACAAAAGAAATACAACACTGGCCCTTCCTGGTACTTTCAAATACGTTTTTCTCGAAAGCGGTGGACTTTCAGACCATCAAAAATTTACTTATTTTTTTTTGTTTTATAATGCCCTATCACCTCCCACAAACTTGCTATTTATTTCAGAAACATCCCGTATATCTATAAACTATTTACAGTGAAAATTTTTTATAACGTACTCGAAGAATTCTTAAAAATGGATACTTTCGATATAATACGTTATATGTCATAACGATAAACCTTTAATAAACTATAGAGATTGTTTAAAATGCCTTTCCCTCTTTTTTCACGTATGTATTAATAATTAACTCACTTTAATCCATTTCCTAAAAGCAATTCTGATTAATTTCTCCACTTTTCATTTATTAAAATTCAATAATAAAAAACGTATTTCAACCAATGACACTTAACATTTTCGATATGCACCAGATCTATCTAAATGATGCGTATACCTTTAACAGTTAAAAACGAAAAAATCTTCATACGTACCTAAGTATATAAAAAAACTTCCAAATAAGCCTAAAATATTATAGAAAATATCGCATGTATTTTTTTTTCGTGAAATTTGCTACAAAAAAGTGCGCGAGGACATATGTCAAATTAATAATTTAAGGAATAGATCGGTTTAAACCTTGCTGTTTGTCGAAATTCTTGAATCCCTCATTTTCTTACTAATTCACAATTACGATAATTAAAAATTATATTTATGAACATTTACAGGTAAAAAGCTAAAAAACTGATAGGCTAAATAGATTATACGACTGATATTCTTAGTTAGTTATTGATGTGAAAACTCATTCTTAACTTTTATCCACTATAAATTAAAATTATTGCTCTTGTCGAGAATCGAACCTCGGCCCATTGGCTTTACAACCAATGCGCTGTCCACTAAGCAACGAGAGATCACAGCATCAACAACTACGAAGGGAACTTATTGGGTCACAGGTCGAACTAATGTATATGTCGCAGGATTATTATCAAAACAGGAATATTACAATCCTACTAGTAAAATTTTTATGGATTTTTGTCAATCAGCGCCAAAATATTACTGACTAGTTTCGTTATTATTGTGGTTTTACTGGACACACGCTGAAAAATTATAATAATCCGAGAATGATTGTGAATAGCCGCTATGCGAAGGTAATGCAGGAGGAGATGCGCGCTTTGACTAGCTGTTCACCTCAAACGTTATCTGCTATTTTACAAAACAATTTGTATGTAAACATTGCAGTGTGCTCGCAAATTTTTAGTATTTATTTCCGTTTAAGTGCAAAATAGTGAATTGCCTGCTCTTCTTTAACTACATTCAATGTGGAACTAATAAATGTGCATGCAAAAAACAACGTATAATGTAATTTCAAATGCGAAAAATGCACTGGTTTTAAAAATAAGTAAAATGTAAAAATTGATTCTTAATTTTTATCAACTATAAATTACCTCAAAATAATGACAAAAATTGTTGTTACTGTCACCTCTCGTAGCTTAGCGGGTTCGATTCCCAGTGAGGGTATGACAACAGCTACAATTTTCCCTCAGGAATATTTTGTGGCGGCAACCAAATGGCAATTTAACTGTTACGGAGAAATGAAACAAAAGGTTTGCCTTCACTTAAAATTTTTAACCTCTTATTATTTTTATCAAGCGAGCAATGTGAAGGAACTTTTTAAGGGCTCGTGTTATCATTATTACTTCTCCAAGGGCTGCTTATTAGAAAGCGAGCCCCGATAAATATTTATTGCAGAGAACATCCTTTATTGTGGATTATAAATAGAACGCCGGCATACTGGATGTGACAGTCACATATAAATTTTTTGTCTTAAAGCTTTTTATGAAACAATATTGTCGCGTATAGAATATACTTCCGTGAAACTTTATGTGTTTTATTTTAATAATTATGGATAAGTTTTCATCATGTAACAGCTACGACTCTAAACATGTTATTACTAAGATACTATTAAATTGTATATTATATAAACGAAGAATTTCGCCTCCAGATGAATCCAAAGGAACAAATATATACGTGCAGAAATATTAGCATATTACTGTTACTATTACACCCTATATTAATTTGTTGCTAAAGATTCTTTAACCATAAATATGAATCATGTTTTGCTTTTGCTCGAAGTTGTGAGAATTGAGAAGTCGAAAATTACAACAATACTATTTTGAGAGACACTTTGAATTTTTGTTGTTGATTTAAAAGATGAATTCAGTAATGCAATTTTGTATATTTTTTTCCTCGTGTAATTTCCTTATTTATTAAGAATGTTTCATCGGCGCCTCTCCCACCTTCCCTGTGTCCAGAAGGTCAACTACCCCCTGACCCGAGCATGATTTACTGGTCCTGTTAATCACTTTTGCTCTATTAATTTCAAATTTTGTTGATGTCTACAGTCAGCTTTTTAGTTTTCATTATCTAATTTTTCAGAAATATTCGAACTTTGATAATTCGAATTACGACAACAAAAAATGTTTGATTTAATACATTCCTAGTGAAATGGCAGTGGTGTAAACGTACATGTTCTAATAGCTGAGCTAGATATTTCAACGTCATTTGGAATATAATCAAAGGTGGTAAGTAAAGACCCATGATAGTTGTAAAAGCAACTTTTACTATTAAAAATAAGGTAGTATATCACTTTAGCATCACAAAAATTAAGTGTTGCGTAGAGGAAGTGAAGAAGGAGAGGTACTAGGTAAAATTAAAGAAAAAAGAGGAAAATTCAGAAAGTGTAGAAAGAGGATGTGGAAGAAGGATACTGTTTGTCGTTGAGTAGGAAATTATGAAAGGTTTGGAGCTATCGTTGGGTGTCAGGCTTTTGCGAGGATACTTCTGACGTAGAAATGATGCTTGATTCGCGCTTCATATTGTGCTTGTTACTTGTCTGTTAGATATTCCCCTGTTCATCCCATTAGACTTAGATCACATTACAGTCAGTAAAGGTTTCTCCCCTTTGGACTTATGGAGATTAGATAACGTTAGATTAGGCTAGGTTAGGTTGTAGGTTCAGTTGAGGTTTTTAATTGTTTATTTAAACCGGGGAACGTTGTTTTCTATTTTTTAATGCATAATAAGCTTAGTAATAATTGTAACATACTTTAATAAAAATGAATATTACTTTTTAGATAGTGGAATTCCATACTTTTACTATAGTACTTTATGAATGATGAAGAAAAAACCATCAAAATTCACTAAATGTAGCAGAGAAAAATCTATAACAAAGAAGTGTTTTAAAAGTCAGTTCTTTGATCTGAGCGGTGAAAAATATGATATCGTTTGAGTTCTTAAATAAAAGTGAATTTAAGTAGTTTTCTTTCTTAATCATTAATAATCTCTTATAGCATTAAAAAAACAAGACTGGGTATAATGGCGCACTACTAAAAGGCTGAGAGACACAGCTTTACACATCACATTTTTGCAAATAAAAATATTCATAAAGATCTACCAATAACAAACCAACACCAAACATTAGAACATTTTTAATAATGTGGACTGCTTAGGTCAACAAAAAAAAATATTCAGGAATTTAAGGAATCCGTCGACCAAAAAACACGTTTGTTCGAATGTTCAGGAAGTTAGAATGATTATCCTAACGAAATACATACAATATAGGTACATGTACATACTAGTACAAAAACATATTGTATCGAAATAATAATTGTTTAAAACATATGAATTTTTTGAGAAAAAATAATTGAATACGGTGAATATTTTGGTACAAATGTTTTCAGTTTATTATAAAAACATGCCTTTTGCAGCGGGAAAGGTCTATGACCCAACAGTCGATTTCAGAATAAAACAAATTACACTTTTAAATGAGAAAAAATTTGCATACATACCCAATGGCACTCTTCTAGTTTCGCACTTGTAGACTCCACGTCCACTGACAAAAACTCAACAGATTCACTGTTTTTATTGAACAAGTTGTGACGTAGGTTTGTCAATGAACTTCAAGGAAAGGATTCTATAGACGTTACAAAACGAAGGTGTTTTCTCAATTAAAACCAAAATAAAACAATGGAATGGACCTGAATTGAGAGGAATAAAATAAAGGATTTCTGAAAATTTCAGCACATAGATGTCCTTTTGAACTAAAACACGCATATTAACTAACGCTTTCCTTTAGTTAGACATTGGACCTGTAGTAGATAATCATTATGAAGGTCTTTATTTTAAACGAAACTAGAATATTACCTTTAAAAATGTAAAAATTAAATGTCACTTTATTAACAAACCATCCATCTATCCATTCAACTTACACTATTAATTTTTTTTTTTGATAAATAAAATTATATTGCAAAATTTTGAAAAATTGTTGTTATTATATTGTATGGTATATTTATATTAATTTTTGTAACAGGTTCAATTTTTCATTATCTTTCGATTAACCAGAAAGTAGTTTAGATGAACTGTAGAAAAGTAATTCTGAAAATGTAGAATACACTTCTTGGTCTTGAGAAGTTCAACTACACAGCATTATTAATCAGATAGAAATAAAACTATTTCTTTCTATCATTGTTACGTTTCATTTTCCTCCCCAATACTCTTCTCTTTTTTCCTCACGAAACCATTTTTTTTTTTTTTTCGTTCCAATAATATTATTCATCTTTAGTTATTTTTTGTTATTTTATTATAGGTATTTGATTATCGGCCGTCTTTGCCATTCTACGGATCTCTAAAAGGAAAGTTTTTATTGTTTTTTTAAAAGAGGTATAAATTACTTCAAAAATCGTTAGTCGTTGTTAGACAAAGTGTTGTACTTTTCTAGTGCTTTAATATGCAATAAAGGACCATCCGAAGAAAAATAGTTTTCAAGGTTTTTTGGGCAATTATACAATATCCACTGTGGCGGAGGGTTGAGCCTGGATTAGTATGCAGGGTGTAACAGAAATAAGTGCCGAGCTTTGGAGGGTATAAACTAGATGCAATAAACAATCGTACGATGAGCTCAGAAGCGCGGTTAAGGGGAAATTTTTATTTAAGAAAATCGCAATAATTTACAATCCGAGGCCGGTCCTGTGCGTGAATTGACAACATAGCTGTCTAATAGGTACCTACTGAAAAGCTTAGTACGATAAAGACTCTGCAGCTACCTAGATGGGGAAGTAAATATTGGCGATTTTATAAAACGTTTAAGATAAACAAATAAGCACAAACAATTCAGTAATACACCTAATGTTTAGACTAAATGAATTAAAAACATAAGTACATTACAGACAGCACTAAGCAAATGTAAGAATACAAAAAAAAAAAGAAAAAAATGTAGGTTACGTAAACATTAATCGGTAAATGAGCATCAGCTGGATAATTGTAATTTTATTAAGACAAATTTCAACACTATTGAGGTATTTGCCAAAGTGCGTTACTTTAGTAAACTTATCAAAAATGTCAAATAAGTCTCCAAAAATTTTGCACCCCACATTTACCGAAATGAAATTGCGAATAATATACGAATTTGTGTCGCACAAGTGGTGATTATTATTATTATAGCCAACGTTTGAAACGGCCAAATAAAATAATACACCACTCTTTATTTTAGTGGTTTAACAAGTCATAACGGCTACAAACAATACATTTTGGTTTACACTGCATAAGAACAATTTTTTTCATCATGCCCCTTAGTTTTTATATGATCCCTTCCCATTCCATTCACACCTCTTCCAACCAATCTGATTTAATTAATTTCGGTTTCCCGGGTCGTCTGACCAATCATATTATATAAACATTTTTGCAAAGCATTCTCACCGTTTTCATTCCTCTCCTCCGAATCAGACCATGAGAAATCATGCCTTTAATATAAACATACAGGCGACAATTGGGCGCCAATCGATCAGTACTACAAACAATTAGTCGCAAAATTTGAATTCTATAACAAGTTCTTTACTTTGAAATCGAGTATTTCGCCCCTACAGCAGCGACATGGTTCAAACCCTTCATGTCACATTGAACACTTGCGAAATGTCTCACCAGTCTAACATAATCGGCATGTAGGGTTTATCCATCGGTCGGTGGATAGTACCTGTAATCATGAGTTTGCGCTCCCGCGCCTCCTAATGGAATTCGCACATACTGGAGACCAACAGGGTAGGACGAACCTAACCCTGTGTCGCTATAGTACCGAGCCCACCCCAAGCAAGGCAAGTACGTACTATAGGCATTACCGGAGATATCTGCGTCTCTCCTGAGATACTGGGGTTAGCAGAAACGTGACCTCAACCACTACGAGCTCAACTGATATGTGACCTCAGTCACTACGAGCCCAAATAAACACCATGGTCACAAAAACGTGTTAACACAAATATTTCCCGAGAACAGTGCACAATACAAATACATACGTATATATATACCAATTATATGTGATCACCTTAATAAGCCAATAATATGCTACACATATTATCTACGCACAATTATGCTACACATATTATCTACGCATAATCGTATAATATTCGCATGATAATCGCACATGCAACGCAGCGCAACGCATCGCAACGCATCGCATCGCTCGCCACTGCACCTGTCAACAGACAACTATATACTACTATATCTTCAGTCTCACCCTCACATGTTTTTATGTGGTTCCTTCTTTGGTCTTTCGTCACCCTAGCCCAACACATACAAACAAAATCAAATGGAATACCAGTCGCCAGCCTATCGATGTTAAATATGAGATAAATAAACAAATATGGAAAGGCAATTATTACTGGAGTAAAGTTTTGATATATTCGTTATGATTTATATTTCGTACCTTACATTCGGCCAACCTGAGTTTGTCACGTCCTCGTGATGCTAAGGTTCCTAATTGAAATCGGGAAAAGGAACTCCATCATCTCCACTAGCACTAGAAGTATCCTCAGACACACCTTTGGGAGGTATCCAAGGTTTCATACGGTCAACGGCAACCACATTATTATAACTACCGGTTTGGCGACGCACTGAACCGGGCATGTCTTTTACACGGTACCGATCGTTAGGCGAAACTTTATCTATAAGCATTGGTCCATCAAACGGAGGAGTCAGTTTCTTACTAGACCCATCACCAGATACCCTCACTTGAATTAAAACTAAATCTCCCTTTTTATATACGTGAGGTGCTTTTCTTTTCTTATCGAAACGTTGTTTTTGTTTGCGGACACATCTGATCGTAGTTTCTGTGGATCTAATCGAACCTCGTCCATTACTTCTGTAACTAACGCTGAATCTGATTTTGATTTAGGACTGTAACCCATTAATAGCTGCGAAGATGTTTGTCTTGTTATTTTATGAACAGTGTTATTGATTGCAAATTGTACTTGTGGTACTACCCGATCCCATGTATCTTCCGTAGTTGATGTCGAAAGAGCAGACTTTATTGTTCTATTCAATCGTTCAACTTGTCCGTTTGCCCTGGGAGTTGCGACAGCATTCTGAATATGTATAATGTGATAAGTCTTGCAAAATTTTTCAAAGCTTCTAGCAGTAAATGCTGATCCTCGGTCTGTAATTATTCGTGTAGGTACACCATACAAATTAAACAATTTGTCCAAAAATCTTGTAACATATTTGCTTTCCGTAGATCTGACAGGTTCAAGTAACACATATTTCCTAAAAGCATCTATAGCTACAAGTAGATGTGCATTTTCCTTTGATGTCTTTTAAGAAGGTCCGAGATGATCAAGGTGAACTGGATGAAATGGAATTGCTTCCTTGGCGATAGGATATAAGAAATCTTCTCTACGACCAGCAGGCATTATATTATATAAACACGATACGCAACAAGATATATACGTCTGGCACAGTGTATTCAATGTCTTCTCAACTGAAAAGTTTCCCATGTCGTCATGAACAGATCTTAGAACTCGTTGCCTCATTCCACAAGGAACTACCCATTGAATCCCACGAACGGTTATCCTGTAGACTCGGTCATTTCTAAGTGCATAATCCTTGTAAATTTTTCGCTCGTATTCAGACGCAAGAGGTTTAGACAAGATATCCTTAATCATTGAAATCTTTTGGTCTGTTAATTGAGCAGATAATACCCAATCAGCAAGTTCAATTCTAAGTATAAACCGTTCCTCTGGTGATATTTCTGTTTAAGATGGATTCCGACTTAGAGCATCAGCATGTGCCAATCTACTTCCAGGTCGATATTCCACTGTGAAGTCGAACTCTTGCAATTGTAACCACCAACGTGCTATTCGTAGTATTAAGTCGCGTTTGGTTGAAGCTGTCTTTAGCGCATTACAGTCTGTCACAATTTTAAATTTTAAACCTAACAAGTAAACTCGAAACTTTTGGATGGTTTCCACAACCGCTAGCGTTTCCAACTCTTCTCTGCACTGTTAGTTTGCCTGCTGTAATAACTAACTGGATGAAGTAAGTCATTGTGTTTTTGCAGCATCACACCGACTATGCCTAGTTTACTGGCATCTGTATGAATTTTTGTTTCTGCTGAAGGATCATATATTTGAAGTACTGGTTTATTGATAAGTATTTCTTTTAATTTTGTGAATGCATTCTCTTCACTTTCAGACCAAGACCACACAGTATTTTTCTTTGTTAAAGCTGTTAAAGGACGTGCTACGATAACATAATTTTTAACGAACCGTCGAAAATAACTGGTGAGACCAATGAATTGTCTCACTTGATGCACATTATTCGGCCTAGGGAATTCACTTACTGCTTTAATCTTCATATTTCCTGGTCGAATTCCTCCTTTGGATATTTCATAACCAAGGTAAGTTATTTCTGTTGCCAAAAACATACACTTGCTTAAATTCAGGGTTAATCCTTCAATTTCGAATACCTGCAATATTATTTCTAAATTTTTCAAATTTTCCTCTTCGGTTTTAGTAGCGATTAGTGTGTCATCTAAATATACTGCTGCAATTTGTTTATACGGGCCTAAAACTTCATTCATTAATCTCACAAAAACAGCTGGGGCATTGC